ATATCTATATCCATATCTATATCTATATCTATATCTATATCTATATCTATATTATATTATATTTATATCTATATTTATATCTATATATTTATATTTACATTTATCTACATTTATATTTACATTTACGTTTATATTTTATTTATATTTATGCATATATATTTACTGCTATTTATATTTTGAATTTTATTTTTACTGTTATTTTTATTTTTACTGCATATTATATTATATTATATTATATTATATTATATTATATTATATTATATTATATTAATTTATATTAATTTATATTAATTTATATTATATTAATCTATATTACTTTATATTACTTTATATTATTTTATATTATATTATATTATATTATTTTATATTATTTTATATTATTTTATATTACTTTATATTTATATTAATTTATATTAATTTAATTTCTATTTTAAATTTTATTTTTACTGCTATTTATATTTTAAATTTCACTGTTATTTCTATTGATATTTATTTCTATTTCTCCTGTTATTTTTATTTTCCCGTTCTGCTGGGCTGGGCCGGCTCTCCCTGAAGCTCCTGAAGCTCCTGAAGCTCCCGAGGTTCTCCTGAGGCTCCCCCGAAGCTCCCGAGGTTCTCCCGAGGTTCCCAAAGCTCCCGAGGTTCCCAAAGCTCCCGAGGTTCCCAAAGCTCCCGAGGTTCTCCCAAGGTTCCCCTGAGGCTCCCCCGAAGCTCCTGAGGTTCCCCTGGGGTTCCCAAAGTTCTCCTGAGGCTCCCCCGAAGCTCCCGAGGTTCTCCCGAGGTTCTCCCGAGGTTCCCAAAGCTCCCGAGGTTCTCCCGAGGTTCTCCCAAGGTTCTCCCAAGGTTCCCAAAGCTCCCGAGGTTCTCCTTGAGGCTCCGAAAGTCTTTTCATCTCTTTCCAGGGGACACCGAGGTTCTCCTGAGGTTCCCCTGAAGCTCCCGAGGTTCTCCCGAGGTTCCCGAAGCTCCCGAGGTTCCCAAAGTTCCCCCAAGGCTCCCCCAAAGCTCCCGAAGTTCTCCCAAAGCTCCCCCGAGGCTCCCGAGGTGCTCCCAAAGTTCTCCTGAGGTTCCCCTGGGGTTCCCGAGGTTCTCCTGAGGTTCCCCTGAAGCTCCCGAGGTTCTCCCGAGGTTCCCGAAGCTCCCGAGGTTCCCCTGGGGTTCCCGAAGTTCTCCGGAGGTTCCCCCAAGGCTCCCCTGAAGCTCCCAGGGCTCTCCCGAGGTTCCAGAGGTTCCCCCGAGGTTCTGCTGGGGCTCGCCCGAGGATCCCCCAAAGCTCCTCAGGTTCCCGAGGTTCCTGAGGCTCCCCCGAGGTTCCTGAGGCTCCCCCAAGGTTCCCCCGAGGTTTCCCGAGGTTTCCCCTGAGGTTCCGGAGGTTCTAGAGGGTCCCAAGGTTCTAGAGGTTCCCAAGGTTCTAGAGGTTCTAGAGGTTCCGGAGGTTCTAGAGGTTCCGGAGGTTCTAGAGGTTCCGGAGGTTCTAGAGGTTCTAGAGGTTCTCGAGGTTCTAGAGGTTCTCGAGGTTCTCGAGGTTCCGGAGGTTCTAGAGGTTCCGGAGGTTCTAGAGTTTCTAGAGGTTCCAGAGGTTCTCCCAGGGTTCTCCAGAGGTTCTCCTGAAGCTCCTGAGGTTCTCCCAAGGTTCCCCAAGGTTCCCCTGAGGTTCCTGAGGTTCCCCCAAGGTTCTCCTGAGGTTCTCCCAAGGTTCCCCCGAGGTTCCCAAGGTTCCCCCAAGGTTCCTGAGGTTCTCCCGAGGTTC